GGTTTGACTGAAAGTCTTCATTCTTGGTCTGGATGGGTATGACTTGGTCTGAGGTGGGAAAACGGGGGGGGGGGGGGGGGGGGTAAAAATAAATTTTTGTTTTGTACTATATTAAATATATACCGTAATTGTAATTAAATAATTTCATATGTAAAAAATTATAATAAAAAAGTTGTCTGCCAAAAATTTAGTGAAAATTAAATATACTTAAAAGAATTATCAAAAATGAGAAGAAAAAAAATTGAAAAAAGATACAAATAAAATAAAGAAATCGCAAAAAGTTAGAAATAAAATAAGAAGGAATGACAAAAATAAATAAATTTAAGAAAAATTGAAAAGTTTATATATTTTTTTAAAAAAATTATGATTTTCCTTTTTTAATTGACCCTTTTCCTTTTCTTTTGGGAATTTTCCTTTTTTGATTGGACCTTTTCCTTTTTTGTTTGACACTTTTCCTTTTTTGATTGAACCTTTTCCTTTTTTGTTTGACACTTTTCCTTTTTTGATTGGACTTTTTCCTTAACCTTTGGGACTTTTCCTTTTTTGATTGACCTTTTCCTTTTTTGATTGAACTTTTCCTTTTTGTTTGACACTTTTCTTTTTGATTGGGACTTTTCCTTACTGATTGAACCTTTTCCTTTTTTGTTTGACACTTTTCCTTTTTTGATTGGACTTTTTCCTTAACCTTCGGGACTTTTCCTTTTTTGATTGACAATTTTCCTTTTTTGATCGGACCTTTTTCTTTTTTGATTAAACTTTTTCCTTTTTTGTTTGACACTTTTCCTTTTTTGATTGGGACTTTTCCTTATTGATTGGGACTTTTCCTTTTTTGGATGGGAAACCCTGTATTATATAAAGAACAGGATATTTCCCCGTTACCTTACTGCTACAAATATTGCATGGAAGAAATATCATGCTCAGAGGCTAGGCATTCCTCATCAGGAATAAAAAGCCATCGAATTAAGAATTTAAGTTATCCACCTAAATTTGAGGCTGTTCTTGGTGACGGAAATCGTTATTATCGCTGCTTGAGCAAAGAGATCACAGGCAGCGAGAATCACCATGCAATTATAAGGGGATCTATAATCTCTTATATAGTGCTGTTGGAAAATAATGATATTTTTACTGATTTTATGGGGAAGGACATAATAAAACATTTGGTTGATACAAAAAAACATCATCTTGGAACGTGGGCAGATGAATTAGATATCATAGCATCTCCTACGTTTTTCCAGACGCCAATTATTATTTATTGTAAAAATGGAAATGAAATATATTACATATTCTGCATTATCAAAAATGGACTGTATAAAAAATTTTAATTCAAATATATATTTGATAAATGCATCTTCAGATCATTTTAATCGTATTATAGTATAATATACACACAATTTTTTGTGATAATTATGTTTCCTTTTTTAAGATATATCTTCTTTTTATAATATTTTTTTGTTTTTGAAATAAAATTATGTATATCCTTTTTATTTAAATAGTATTAAGAAATCAGCCAGTTTTAATATTATTGCAATAAAATATATATATACAAACAAAAATAGTTGTTTCAGTTTAAAAGAATAATTTAAACATTAAGATTTGATTTAAACTTTATTTTATATCTGTATAAAAAATTTTGTATTTTATAAATATAAGTGTTAACTTTTAATCAGCTAAAAATATAATTATATATACATCTAATAAATAAAATGACGATTTTAAGAAGCCAAGAGAAAATGTTTAATCAGAGTGATAGATAGTGATTGAGATGCTTGACATAATAGAAAACCTTATTTGTTTGTGATTTGCTTACTTTTGTCTATTAAAATTTTAAGGCTTGAGATTCCAATAATACGATGTATGAAGAAAATTTGTATACATTTTATTTATTTAAAATTTTCTGCAATAATTATATATAAATCTAAATAAAATGACGATTTTAAGAAGCCAAGAGGAAATGATTAATCAGAGTGAGTGATTGAGATCCTTTGACATAATATAAACCCTTATTTGTTTGTGATTAGCTTACTTTTGTCTATTAAAATTTTAAGGCTTGAGATTTCAATAATATGATGTATGAAGAAAAGTTGTATATATTAAACAAATAAAATTTATATAGGATATTAAGAATTGTAAAATAAATAAACTCCCTTAAAAAATTATATAAGAATAGAAAATCATTTATATAATCATTTAAATCTATTTTAAATAAATATTTACAAATCGAAAATGGCCGCCAATATTTTTGAAGCGACGAAAAATATATATGTCATAATTTTTAAAGGGATCATGACTATACGAGATCTTCACGGGATTTAAAGGGATCCCTTTAAAATTTCAATTTTTTAAAGGATAAAGAACTATACGGTATTATCATTGGGGCAGAGATTGACCTCCAGTTGAATAAATCTTTTGATTAGCTATCGAATGATACCCTATACTAGACATATCTTATATCATAAGGCCAAAAAAAACAAAATTAAAAACGCAACGAAACTCGTGGAAAACGCTTTTAAAATAAGATTCTTCTTTATCACGATTAAAACGTGATAATCCCGTATTATCATTCCTTAATTATCAACTCTAATTTTTTAGTTATCCCTTTAATCCCGTGAAGATCCCGGATAGTCATGATCCCTTTAAAAATTACGACATATATAATAAAAAATATTTTATAATTTTAATGGCCGCCAATATATTTGAAGCGATGAATAAATATATAATAATATTTATTTTAAAATTTTAATGGCCCCCAATATATTTGAAGCGATGAATAAATATATAATAATAAATATTTTAAAATTTTAATGGCCCCCAATATATTTAAAACGATGAAAAAATATATAATGAATAGATATTTTACCATTTTAATGGCCGCCGATATATTTGAAGCGATGAAAACATCTCTTAAAAATCAATAAGGTATTGATTCTACAATATCAAAATATCACTATGGTATTGAATCTACAATGATAATATCAATACGGTATTGAAACTACAATGGGTATTGATTTCACAATCCTACACTGGCCCGTACCCGGCCTAAGTCCGTAAAATAATCTAATTCGGGCCGGGCCTAATATTTTTAAAAAAAATTCGGGTCGGGTCGGGTTGGACCTTGGAAATTTTTTTAAATATATCTAAATTTATCAATTTTATATTGAATTTCTTATGTAAAGTAAAATATTTGTTTTATTTATTGAAATTAAACGACATATAACATGTCTTTTATTTTGAGTAATTATAAAGATTAATTTCTATATTTAAATAAATTCGGGCAGGGCTGGGTCGGTAAATTTTTTTAAAAAAAATTTCGGGTTCGGGCCGGGCCGGCAAAACTTTTTAAAAAAAATTCAGGTTCGGGCCGGGCCGGCAAAACATTTCTAAAAAAAATTTCGGGCCGGGCCGGGCTTGAAAAATCAAGCCCGATGCAGATCACTAATAAGAAATATATTATGTTGATAAAACTAAAGATCACTAAAAAAAATTAATCAAAATAATATAAGAATTTCTTATAACAAAGAGTTTAAAATTTTCAAGTGGGAGTTTCATTTGCCATTCTCATATCTTTCCTTTTTTAATATATTCGTATATTATTTTTGTCATATTTTGATTAAAATAGTTTATTTTTTATTTCAAAATGTTTATCTCTTGCATTTACTTTCTCAGCCCTATGACTATGAAAGGGGGATGAGACTGGTGGTATATCGAATCGTCTTTCGTTATAATTAAATTACTATTTTTTATTCGTTGAAAAATCAGGTGATATTATTAAACATAAACATACGATATTTTTTTTTAAAAAAGGCGTGATGAACACACTCTTTTTTTTACATCGACGAATTGGAAAAGAGTATTATATAAATAATTTATCAGACCTTTTTCGATATATTTTATTTTATTAAATTTTTATTTATTTGGTTGTTTCTTTCTTTCCTTCCTTTCAATAGTAGCATTTTTAGATGAGTTAACCCTAAGAGTTATATGCATACATGGTTTAGGAAATTTTAAAAATCGATTTAAATATAAATATGCTCTAAAATAATATATTCTAAATATACTCATAAAAATTTTCAAAAAAGTAAAATACAAATACGCTAATGAATACTTTTTAGAAATGTAATTACTTTCTAAAAATTATGTTTATAATTGTATCGTTCAAAAAATTTGTAGATATTTTTATTTAATAATTATAATAGTCATCTTCAAAAATTTTCATCTTGAGTATGAACGTAGCTTATTTTAATAAAATAGGATGAAAGAAAGATAAGTTCTTGATTCGCTTATCTAACTCAATTATAAAATGAATATTTAAAGAAATAAATTGTAGATTTTATATATAATATAAATGAATTTTAAAAAACGAGAACATCTTTATAAATCTCAAATTGTATTGAATATAAGACTTTTTATTTTTTAGTATTTAAAATACATATACTAAATAAAATACAAAAAAAAGTATTAGCAAGTATTCATGATACTGCCCAACCCTGCCTATATATACGTAAAAATATGATAATACAATTATTGGAGACATCTATAGAGTGAATATTTTTCAATAAAAACAATAAAATTTATATCTAACAGAATCACTGACATAAATGTCCTGGAGAAAAAGACTCAGATAAAATTACCCCAGGCAAAAATACCTATGGACAAAAAGACATCAAACAAAAAAAAACCCAATTTAAGAAAAAAATCAAATTTATTTTTTTGAAAATCGGAGTATTTAATTCCATTGTTTCCCATGAACAAAAAGACATCGAACAAAAAAAACCCCAATTTAAGAAAAAATCAATTTTATTTTTTTGAAAATTGGAGTATTTAATTCCATTTGTTCATGGGAATTTTTCCCCAATATCTTTTTACCCTGGATACTTTTGTTATCAAGGACATTTATGTCTATGATTTCAAAATTTATGATAGGATTTTAATTTAAAAATAATTAGTGCTATTCTCTCATTTATCATTTCTAAAAAGGTCAATAAGTTTAAGATAATATTTACCTCAGTGCCAAGATAAGTTGGGCGAATATAAAGGGAATTGAGTAAATTGGAATCAGGTCTTGGAACCCAATTCTTTTCAATATTCACCAAAGTTTTTATACATTCCAAAAATTCAGATGGATCAAAGCTCTACATGTAAAATTTTAAAAATATTAATATTTTTATTACAACATCCTTATATATTTTATAAATTTCTCGTTATATATCTTTAACATAAATATCTTAGTGTGTTGATTATAATATCTTTACTATTCTTTTTATTAGCTATAATATTGACATTTATTTAAAAGTATTCATAATTTCATTAGTATTAACAAAAAATTTTAAAAAAAGGTACTTAGATTTATTATTTATCTTAGTGTTTAGCTAATAAATTTAAACTTTTACTGGTAGAGCCAATCTTTCAGTTCCTTTGAGAATCCTTTGAATATTTAATTGAGGGCGAAATAGCCTTATTTTATTATCAATGCCTCTATAAGCCTTTAGCCCATCAAAAAGTTGAATAGCGTAATGAAGGGCTTTTACTGCAGGATTAATTGTCAAATTTTTATAAGGTAATATTTTGGGAGTCCCCCAACCATTTTTTTCTGTCCAATTTATATCCAACATATGGTCACTAAATGTTTTACCAAATATTAAATTTTTGGTAGATAAGATATCTGTTTTTAATGGATAACATAGCTTAATTTCGATATCTTTATGCTTTATTAATTATCTATAATACTATTTTATATAAGTTTATTGTACTTTAAAAGAATAATTATGTGTGGTAATATAATAATTTTCTACATTCTTTAAAATTTTCTAAATATATTTAAATTATTATATCTATAACTGAATAAAATACATTCCTAATCCAGTTATGAAGCTTATGCGTCATCTTCTTATCTTATCTTTCTTTAAGATTTGAAAATAAAACCAGATGACTATAGGATGGGTGATTAATTTAAAGATAATATTTGCAATTTATTAATTGCAACCTAAATTTTTATATGAAGGTGGTAGTTATTATAAACAAAATTATTTCTAATGTTTCATCTTTTGCAACTCTTTACTTTTATATTATATTAGTTGAGATGAGCCAAGTTAAAAGTAATAAGAGACTAACTAATACCTTGAATCTAATTTTTAAAGTAGGATAAAATTATTAGCTATAATATTTAACTGGTGCAAAGTGAATATAGACCTAGAAAATAAAGACACTATAAATGAATGTTTTAACTTTGGCTCAGATTATTTAAAAATTTGATTTTTATATTTTTAGGCCAAAAAAATACAACCCAACCCCGGTATATTAACAGAAGAACAACTCTTGTTTTAAAATAAATTTCACAATCCTATAAAATAAAAAAAATCTGCCAAAAAATATATAAATTTATCATTTTACTCAAACCACCTATATTCTAATAACTTTTAAATTATCTCCTTTATACTACAATGTAAATTTTTATTTACTTAATTTCAAAAAAAGATAAATTTGTGTTCGTTTTTGGTTAACTACATTTTATTAATAATTAGTCTTTATATTTATAATTATTTTATTTATATAGTATAATAAAAATTTAACCGTAATATTAGCTGGATTTGTTTATATTACATGGTTTTCCTTAATTTCGAATAGAAATTATTATGAGAAAACTAAGTACGTAAACAATATTTTTGTTATATTTTGTTCTCATTCAATTCATCATATGAAAATATAATTATAAAAAAAATGGCATTACCCTTATTTTTGCCATTCTTCCGTTCAAATTCTTATTTAAAATGAGCATTTAGTAAAAAATATAATACACTAAACTTGTATTTATCAAAAAATTAATTTTTAAAAATTCGAAATATATTTATTTGTTTAAAATAATTTTACACATCATTGGTAATGCACAAGAATATATTCTATAATACTCGAAATAAGCTATATTTCTTTAGTAAAAAGAATATAAAGTTGTGATTTTTATAGAAAAGAATACTCAGATAGCCTTATTTTTTACGTGAATTGACTTATATGATTGGAAATTAATACAGAATTTAACTGTATTAACCCATTAATGGTAAATGAGCCATATCTGCAACAGTTGTTATTTATTGATTTTCCACAAAAATATTTTTTAAATTTAAAATGATTTCACTTATGTTTCTTATAGCTTGAAGACTGTACTATAACATAAAAAAACATTTTTTAAAAAAATATTTATTTTTGAGTGCGCTAGATGTCATTGAAGTTCGACAATTTTGGACTATTGAAATGCCATTAGTTCTAGGCTCCCTTGTTGAAAGAGTTTTTTTTTAACAATTGACATAAATTTATTTCTTATAGATGTCTTAACCTACTCTAATTATTTTCGGCCCATCGCTCTATCTATTCTCGGACTCATAATCATATGTTTTTTACTGTACCATTTATCAACGTTGAAACCATAAGGGTTCCAAAAAAGTTGTTTTTCTAAAAAATTATATTAAAAAAAATATGGCATAGTGTTTTATTTTTATTTTTAATTTTTGTTTTTATTCTTACAAAGCAAAAATACTATTTTATCATAATATTTTTATTATTTGTAAAAAAAAATTCCAGAAAATTTATAATTGTTACTCTTGGAATATGATAAATTTATACCAAATGGCCCATTAGCAAGAAATAAAGGCTATATTTTGTCTTATTTATACGCATTTTCCAAGTCGATAAAAAGTTACGAAGTTATATTGAGGAAGTTAAATAATTTCAAACTCGATATTTGAACATTTGTTTTCCATTATAATTTACTTGTATAAAAGTAACATTCAACTAATCCTATCCTGGTATCTATAGTGCTACGTAGACAAAAACCTGGAATAAATTAATATACCAAAAAATTTCTGGGTGATAAATTGTCAATTTCATATTTTGAATCGTATTGCAAGGCTTACATTTATACAGTATATTGATACTTTTGGATTGTAGAGATCAAATTGATTTGAAAATAATATAGATAGATATAAAACTACAATGTAATAATAATAGTAATAATGTATTTAACAGACTTAATCAAATATCATGAATATTAATGTTTTGTTAACTAGTTGCCCTTAACCATATCTTGTATATTAAGTTTTGTTTTATATTAACATTATTTAGATCAGATTATTTTTAGGTATAATGATATCTATTGCCAGCTTTTCAATAGTATACTTATAGATATTACCTTGTGATAACTTATTCTATAAATTTAAAACACACAACAACCCTTAGCATGTTTCAAATTTACAAACAATTGCTCATTTTTATATAATTTTTTTATTGAATTTATTATGCTAAATTTATAAATTATTTTATTTTTTTTATAAACTTTTAAAAAAATTACTCTTAATGAGACCAGGTTAAAACTCAAATAATTTGGGCCCCATAAGGAATGTTCTTAATTATACCTAAATTAATATAATTTTAATAACTTATTAACCCTTTGACAAATATTAATACCACTTATGGTTCTTCAGAGTGTCTCGTTAAGATAGAAATAGTACTAGGTTTGGTTAAATCTCTAGACCCTAATTTTTTTATAAACACGTCAAATTGGTCAAATTATAATATTTTGGCAAAATTTTTGCCTTTAACAAATTCATTACGAATCTTAACATTTTATTTTGGTACAAATTTTTTATTATAAAAAAAGAATATTCATGTTATATAATTCGGTTAAAGATAGTCATATCCAAGTCAACGCATAGCACTTTTCTAAATACTAACCAAATTTGTTAAACACCGACCAAAATTTATTAAAATGTAAAAAGACCTTATTTAATATATATTATAATGGAATCACCTGGTCTAGTCCGGCCTTCTATATATCATCCCCCCAAGGACGGAACCACCAAGTTAAATTAAGAAAAAAAACATAATCATTACTGGGATTCGTATCCATAACCATCGAATTGGTAAGCGACGCTCTTGCCGACTAGGCCACAGAGGCTTTCCAAAAATCACGATTTCAAATATATATTATAAATAAGTTTGGTAGTGCCTATCCAAATGTAAAATAAACAAAATACAAATTTGATAGATATTACCTTAATGTATTGACTATCATTAACCCACATATTCTATATGAAAAAAATTCAATAATTTATATAATTAAATATAATTATGCTTAATAACATAAATATATTAAATATAAATTGATTAGTAATATATACATGTTTAAATATTGAAATGAATTTGTTAAATAATAATGAAATTTGGTTAAAATATAATAGTTGATAATAATATAATAAGATAAGTTAGATAGTAATATAATATATATTTATAAAAAAAACTATAAACCATATATTTTTTTTATAAATTGATAATATTTTATATTACAATTATCTAGATATATGTTAATTGTAAATTGTAATACTATTTCAATACAATCTTTTAAAAATTTATATTTGAATATAAAATACTACATTAAAAATATAATATCTTAACAAATATTTAAAAGGCATTATAAAAAACTTCTATATTTGGAATACTTATGTTAAACGGTTCAATATAGAACGATTTTTTAAAAAAGTCCGAATAAGGTTTTAGCCAAAATAATATTATGATTTTGCTCATAGGTGGCAAAAAGTTTCTATTTCCCAAATCTCGAGACACATAATATTATTTTAACTAAATCCTTAATTGTGTTATTTTAAAGTTAAACTAGATAGGACCGTTTAACAACACTAATTAAGTATATCGAAATTTATATATATATAGATAATGTTAATGAAATAATATCCTTTAATTTGGGATTTTATATCTTAATCCTAAATTATTCATGGAAACCAATTTTTTAACTTTTGAATTTTAGATATTATAAAGATTTCTCAGATAAATTAAAAAATACACCATAATTCATGGCAATATTTAAATAATTTTTATTTATTATCCTCGAAAATTTGTAGTAACAAAATATTCGCATATATTAATATTTTTAGAATGCGTATTTTTGTAAATATTCCATAAACTTTAAGATTTGGGATTAAGGAATTTTACCCTACTGTCAATATTTATTCTAGTAAAGATGAAGAAGTAGTCCTCTTCTTTGAGTGAGTATTTTAGTTGTTTTTTTTTATAAAATTAGTATAGGTCACTTCTGAACCTAATAATAAAATATATATAGTCCAAAAAACTTTTTCTCTTAAATTGCATATTGTAGTTTGGCATACAATATCTAAACAGGGTTGTCATGTCTCCCCCCATCAACGGGAGACTCCCGCATTTTTTAGTTTACACGCTGACTTCTCATTCCCGCAAGACTAACGTAATTTAAAATCTCCCGCAAAAATCTCCAGCAATTTTTTAATTTCTTCCTCATTTTTTAAAAGTATTTTAACGTTTTTAATATAAAAATAATAGTTTTAAGAGACATTAATTGATTATTTTTATATTTTTAAAATAAATTTTAAATATTTATTCGAAAAACATGTCTAGTTTGTAAATTTCTTTCTATCCTGTTTTATATTTATCCAATAATAAATCAACATCATTTCATTCATATGAGTCAGTACAGGGGAGTATATCAACATCGATTGCAATACAAAAATATAATAATAAATAATACAGATGCAACTACATTTGTGGAAATCGTATACATCTATCATGTAGTTCAACATTCACAGAGCTATATCATCACAATGTGGGTCGAATCTTTTTCTCATGATATTTAACGACTCCAATATAGTGCAAACCTTACTTGTGGTATAACAAAAATGAGCAAGGCTATCACAAGTGTTTTAGTACCTGAATCCTAGAGGTCAATTCTAGACGATTTGAAATAGGGGCATCCATATGCAATTCTAACAGATGCATCTAATAAGGGATATATTAAAACATTTCCTTTGATCCTTCGCTATTTCAACAAGAATAAGAACATTTCAATAAAACTGTTAAAATTTTCCTCGGATAGTGAAAT